ACAACTGGATGGGAAAAATGGAACACAAATCCCCCAGAATTGAGCTTCACCTTGATGAAGTGGTTAATTACTACATGTTGGTGTGGTCATGATGAACCGGATTATGAGCAACGCTAATTGTAGCTTTATTATCACAAAAACAGATGTAGAAAAGCATAGACCGACATACATAATTCGTGGAGCATTATGATAACCAGAGTGCTTCACAGATTTTCAAGGACATGAAATGAAACTCAGCTTCTGCATTGCTCCGGGCAACCACTGACTATTTCTTACTTTTCCAGGTGACAGTTTCCCCACAGTAATAATCAATGCCCCGAGGTAGATTGTTGATCATGGACAGACTGGCCCAATCAACGTCAGTATAAACTACAATAAAACAAAAAGAGTGGCAAATAACAAACCTGAGCCTTTTGTGACTTTTAAGTAGTGAAGGATTCGGTGGACAGCTGTGAGATAGTGCTCATATGGGTCATGCATGAACTGGCTTATAACACATATCGTGTGGCAAACATCGACGCACGTATGAGTGATATAAGTGAGTTTCCCCACAAGACGTTAGTAGTGTGTCTTGTTCAGAAGAACATCATTAGGAACATCAACCAATTTCTCATTGGGGTCCATTAGAACAACCACAAGTAGAAGATCAGTCTGTGTCAAGATCCATCACATATTTGCGCTAGGAAAGACAAATGCCCCAAGAGGATCGAGCAACTTTCACGCCTAAGAAGTATCGGAGAGACCCCAAGTCTTTCATTTCAAAGGATTTGACGATGACTTTAAGAGATTCCAAGGTTGACATATCATTACCTGTGAGCATAATATCGTCAACATAGAAGATAAGGATGACAATTTGGTCTAAGAGCATTCATCTCATCCAAAGGTTCCATCATAATTAAATTTGGTGTCGAAGATCTACCGGCAACTAATTGTTTTCTTTCCCCGAGGAAGATCAACAATATCCCACGTATGATTTCGCCAAAGAGGATTCATCGCATCAATTACTACAGCCTTCCAGGAAAGGTCTATCAATGCTTTCTTAATAATAGATGGGAAGACTATGATCTGTCGAAGTGGCAAATGTTTTGTAGGTTGGCGATAAACTGTGAAATGAAATATATTTTATCATGGAATAAAAAGAGCATGTCTGATTGCATATCTAAATGGTAGAACTCGCCTCCAAATTCAGAGCAGGAGTAAGCTCCGCAAGTATAGTGTCGAGAATGTCGGCCGGGGAGGATTCCAAGTTCTGTAAAGTGGCAACAATATGGGTACTGGGACGGGTCTCAACTAAGGGTTTGATCTGCCGAGTATAGACACGGAGAGTGGGTGAAGAAGATGTTAGTCTGGTAGATGGTGGAGAAGTAGGTGGCATATCCGATAAAGTCAGGAAATGAGTAGTGTCCAAAAAAATTAGCTTCTCCTCAATTGAGGCGGTGTTGGAAAAATAAGAAGCACTTTCAAAGAAGAAGACATTGACACTCACATAGAGTTTATTTGTGAAAGGATTGAGGTGTCGATAACCCTTTTGATTAGCAGAATATATGAGGAAGGTACAACTGATTGACCAGGGATTAAGTTTGCTACAAGTTGGGGCAGTGTTTCGAACAAATATTCTGCACCTAAATATTTTCGGGTCTAAAGTGAAAAACGAGCCGCTTGGTAGGAAAACAAGATCTTAAGATTGTTAACGTGCTCAAAATTTGTGAATTTTTGTGCGAACTATTATGAGATATGTGGAGGTAAGTATGACATCATTTCAAAATCGTTTCAGGACATTCGATTTAAAAAAATATGAACAAGCAACTTCGAGAAAGGGTCAGTTGTTTTATTTGGCTATCCCATTTTCTTGAGGAGTATCCGTACAAGGGTTGTGATGCAAAATGCCCTCATTTACAAAAAAATCCCCTAACATAGTATTGAGAAATTCAGGATCGTTGTCTGTCTGATGGACTTGAATTGATGTTTTGAATTGGGTCAAAATAAATGAAAGAAAATTTTTGAAGGTAACAACAATTTCAGATTTGTTTTTAAGATATAGACTCATATCATTCAAATGTGATCATCAATCAAGGTAAGAAATCATCGTTTATTGGTGTAGCTAGGCGTTTGAGAGGGGTCCCCAAAAGTCACTACGAATTAGTGAACAAAGTGCAGGAGTGTAAGAGTACAATGGATGTGCAACTCGATGATGTCTAGCTAATCGACAAATCTCATATTTGAAACTAGATAGATTTTTATTAGTAAACATCAAAGGATACGACTGTTTTAAATATTGAAAATTGAGGTGATCCAAACGACAGTGTAAAAACATAATACGACATTTAGTGGACTGGGAAAGACTACAATTATTAGATGGAGTGACTTGTCAACCTTGCTTTTCTCTTGGAAAAAAATATAACCCAACTACTCGCTTATCAGTTCCAATCATCCCACTCAACCGAAGATCCTGAAAGACACAAACATCAGAAAAAAAAATGGATTAAGAGAAAATGCCATCACCGGATTTTTCTTGTCCTCCAACTTCAGAAGAGAAACCACTCTTAGTCGGTCGAAGCCATGTCTCGGCCTCAACCGCCGCCTCCTCAGGACTCCTTTGGGGAACCACAACCCCCGCAGTCACCTGGACGGGCTATCTTTCTCCCGTGGCAGGAACACTCACCCCTGTTGGGTGTCCCATAGGATGATCCTTAAGACGACTCTAGCCTGTCCCGCAGCCCTCTCCTGGGGAAAACCCGCAAGAAAACCAGAAGAGCCAGGTCAGCTTGAGCATAGCTCTCTTCCCACTCACCCCTTCCACGGATACCTTACCCATTGGTTTACATTTCAAGTTTAACTTACAAGCTTACACCCGCATATCACTCATAGCTTTGAGAAGGACACTCTTATCAGAAGGTGGCGCTCCTTCATCAAACATCGTGTAAAACACGTAAAGAGAAGGACATGAGATAAAGGAACCAGAAGAGACGGGCAGTGCAAACCTCCCTTGCCCCAAAGTCTATTTATAATGGGTCGAGCACGAAAATCCAATGATGTCTATTATTGCCCAATAATATGATTTACTTATTTCATACATGTTAAAAATTTCTCTCAACCTTGTGTACTGTACAACTTCCGATGAGCAAGAGAATCGAAAAACTAAATATGTACATATAAAAATATGTCAACACAAATCTCAAACCAAATAGACGGCTTTGGAAGAAGATGCAGACGATCGAGCATAGCCTACGATGATCGCTTCTGGATGAATATTGGCAAAGGAAGCACCCAGCCGTATATATGCAAGGGAAAATGATCGGTAGAAAGCACCGGGAGAAACTCCAGCAGGGCGGTAATCAACCTTCAGAACATTCGACAGTGAGCACTCATTCAGAATATATATCGATAGAACCGACGATCGACAACCCTTATCGATCAAATCGGCCCCGATCTTATTATAAAAATATAATTCTGTAATTACAAAAAAGCTCACCTGAAAAGTTAATAATGAGGAGGTTAATATGTACTTTTGAAATATTGAGACTTAGGCCTATAAATAGGGGTTCATATCATGAATAAGACAAACTCTTTTTTTTGTCCACTACTACTCTCTCTCTCTTCCTCCATCCTAATCTCTAGCAGAACGTTCCATTCCTTAGATGTGTTTCCCAGACACTTTTGGATTCAACAATCATAATTTTTATTTAAATGAGAAAGTGTGGCAAAATAATGGATTAGTTCAAAACAGAATTGGCATATAAGCTAGATTGTTAATCTAGATTTAAGTTATGTTCATTTAAAACATAATCGTAAGAAGAATTTAGGGTCTTTTTTGGGTTGGGCCAATCGAGGGGTGGAGTGTTGGGGGGAGCATTTACACCTGCAACAAGTAGGAAAAAACAAATATGCGGGCAAAAATTTTTCCAAATGTCTATGAGGCACATATTTCACCAACTCTATAGAGGACATGTGCCCCCTTCGCCCCTACTAAATTTGTCATTAGTCTTAAGATAATCACTTACATCATTGGTTTGGGAACATGTGATAGCTGACACATCAAGATGTAGTTGATGGTAAAACTCAATTTGACGTTTTCCATCATGGATTAAAATCAATAAGTAATAACCTAAATAGTAATCTAAGATAAAAAATTATTGGTGAATTTTTCTCAGTCTCCCAACATAGGTTAAGTTAATGGGTCATGGTCCCATCCTAACAACCTAGGAGGCTAGGATAGGCCTAACTTCATATGAAATTTCTAACCCTCCTCATCATAGACTACAATCTCTAATAATGTCACATATATAATTTGAAAAAATTGGTTGAACTACACTCTAAAAGAGAAAAAAAAAAATCCTTGAAGGCGGTTTTAGTAAGGAAGCCTCAAAAGGTCCCGAGTTTTGAGCATAGTTCTCATTAGAAAGCCCCTATGAGGTCAAGTGATAAAAAAGATCTCCACTTCCAACTCCTAAAAGGCTTGCATGTAAAAAAGCCTCAAATGATACCTAGTATTGGACAAGGTCTTCACTAGAAAGTCTATATAAAACTAAATAGTAGATCTTCACTTATCTAAATACTTCAAACAACATAAACCTTGGAAGATATAAGTTATTCACTTACCCAAAAACCCTGGTATAAACCTTAAATGATTCGTGATCTCCACTCATTTAAAAATCTGAGCGTAGACCAAAAAAGCTATAAGGTTACTGCTAATCTAAGGCTTTAGTATTGGATAAAATCCTTATGAAAGAGTCTAAAAAGACCTTAGAAGAAATATGAACTCTACTCATCCTAAAACCTTATAAAAGATAGACCTTAAAAAGCATAGAATCTCCCATTATCTAAGGATGCTAGAGGGCACTGTTGACCTCATTTTCTGAGGCCTTAGTTTTTTTACTCCCAGAACTCAAAATCTAGCCTTAGGAGTTCCTTGTTTGACCATCTTAGCAGACTAGTAATGGAGCTCACCTCCCATAGAACTTCAAACAACTTCTTGACTCATTTTTGTGAAGAACTCTCATGAATGGTTCCAAGCACACAACTTCTAGTTGCAAAGGCTAAGAACCAACATGTATAGGGCCCGAAAATGAGTTTCTATAGGATCAGACGACCTTAGGTGAACCCTCCGCGACTCAGCAACGCACTCGCTACATCACGCACGAAAGTGACACTTTTTTGGTCTGACCGTCAGCGAACTCGCCCGAACAACTCCGGATGATGAAGTGGACCACACGGATGCGCCTGAGACGTTGAATTTAGCTAAGAAAGACACCCACATTGCTATAGTTTCACGTGCAAGCGACTAACACGAAAATCAATGCACACTTTTTTTTAATTAAAGGGCGTGAGTTTGTGCTCGACCAAGGTTCAATCCGTGTCCAAATCAGGCTGAGCACGGGCTAATCACCAGCTGACGTAATTTTAAATTTCAAAATTCAAACAATAATTTAAAATCCTCTTAATTGAAAATGATTTGATATTATATTTTTCTAATTGAGTTGGCTGCCTGAAAGAAAATTATTCAAGTCCCCCCAAAGTTTTAGAGTAACTGCTACATGGATTAATTCGGCCCTCTCCTATTCTAAAAGGAACGTTGGCTTCTTCCTCGAGCTCTCGGCACGATTCGACTCCCTCTTCCTCCTCACGCTTGATCCCGTAACCCTCCTCCTTCACAGATCAAAACCCTCGTCTCATCTCCCTGCCCCCTGCTTCGCCTCTTTATTTTTCGGACGCAGAAGAAGCCTCATTCGATACCAGCCTCACTCTCCCGAGCAAAGCTCCTGCTCGACTCCCTCACTCGACAGAACTCTTCTTTTTTGCGAACCAAAGCGCTCGACTCTTTGCTGCGCTGCGCCGAAGCCCCCCTCTTCCTCGCTACCGAACCCAGCTTCCTCTTCCTCTCTCAATCCCGGCTCCCTCCTCCTGCTTGGCTCGCATTTCCTGCTCGGCTTCCTCGCGTTCGATCCCGCCTCCTTCCTTGCTCGACCGAACACCCCCGCTCCCCTCCTCCTCTGTACCGAAACCCTCGCCTGCTTCATCCTTCTGATTCGCCTCCTCCTCGCGGCACCGAGACCGCTCGATCCCACTCCCGCTCACCTTCTCCAGTCTCGATCGAAGCCTCGCTCGCCTCTCCTCCGCACGAAGCCGCTTAGCCCTCCCGTATACGTCTAATTCGCCTCCCCCTGCTCTCGACAAAACACCTTCGTTCTCTTTCGAAATTCTCTGTCGATCGTCAGCCACACTCTCGCGCGCAAGTTTGCACTCCCTGATCTTACCTTCTACATCTTCATCGATTATTCCTTTTAGTTCACCACAAACCTTTTATGGAAATATTTGGTTCTAACAATTGAAACTTTCTGAGTTTACTACTATTACTTCTGTTCTCAAACTTTTGCTATATCAACTTTTCTACATTTTTTATGTGGGTTGATCTGACATTGGAGGTAATTTTAATGATATCTTTTTTCTGTTCTTAATGCCTGAACATTTTATTTGCATCAGATAATATTCTAATTTTAATGTTGTCTTTTGAAAAAGAATTGCATGATTAGAGAGAATTATGACTCCACACATTAAATTATTTGTTATTATTTCTCCAAAACTAATTGTGCCTTGCATTGGACTAAGCCCAGTTCAATTTGATTATGTCATATTGTCTAGATAATGTCAAGTTATGAACTGCTCTGTTTAGGCAACTGTTTTTTTTTTACAATTGCTTGGTCGGTGTACAGATATTTCTTCTCATGCTTCATAGCTCCTATCATTTCATTTTTGATCAATTTACTGGTTAGGATGATTCAATATCTGTGAACATGTTATTTTTTATGAATTCATACTTCAACTTTTGTTTGGCAACTGTAAGTGAGCATAACCTGTGATAGTAAAGCTGATGTGAAGAATCTTCTTTGATGTGCTTGACATTACTGGTTTCCATTATTAATTTGCTAGAGTTAGCATATTTATCATCTTCAGTTCTATGTGTCATTTTTTTTTGTTATACTTGAATATCACCATTCACCACTCCATAAACGAATGAAAAAAAAAGTTTTAAATATTTCATCCAAAAGTTTAGGGGAATTTACATGCACAAAGACATCATTTTATTGCTATTTTGAACACGGGTTTGGAGCTATTTAAAAGTGTCATTGTGGGTTGTAATTTTTTGTTATGTTTCGTGTCTTTTGGGCTGCACCTTTTTAGTCTAGTTGGTTGCTTTTGAGCTTTATTTTTTTTACTCTGAATTGTGGAACATTCGGGCAGATCAAAACACTGTTTTGGGATAGATTTAAGTACTCTTCTCAGGGCTCGATTTAATTACACTTTTTGAAAGAATTTAATTTTTTTTTGGGTCGATTCACTTGTTGTTTCGTTCTTTGGCTTTGTTAGTTTTGGAAGTGGGTCGGTCTTCTCTTTTCGTTTTTTTTGTTATTCTTGTCAAATGGTTAAGTAAAAAAAACGAGTTTCTGATTTAATCATTGGAAGACACTTAGAAATATTTGAGGATTAGTTGGAAAACACTTAATTGAGGGTAGAACACCTTAAACCACTGCATGCACAAGTTAGAAGTGTAGGCTTCTTAGATTCTAGGAGCACTCCCGAGGTGAGAGTCATCTACCTAATTCTCAGAGTAGGCTTCCTAGATTTTAGGAGCACACCTTAGGTGAGAGCCCATCTACCTAATTTTCACTGTAGGCTTCCTAGATTTTAGGAACACACCCTAGGTGAGAGCACATCAGCTTAATTCTCAGTGTAGACTTCCTAGATTTTAGGAGCACATCCCAGATGAGAGTTCATCTACCTAATTTTTCAGTGTAAGATTCCTAGATTTTATGAGCACACCCTAGGTGAGCGTTTATCTACCTAATTTTTGAATAAATAATGAAACTAGACACATGACTCTGATTCACAAATTAATTAAGAAACTAGACATGAGGATGCACCGAGATGTGGTTCATGACTTTTTTGATTAGATCAAACAGTGAAATTTCCACAATGACTTGACCTATAGTGAAACTCAGTGCACCGAGATTTGAACTTGGATATTACACTCAAATCCTCATGGCAATTGAGGAAATTTGTTAACGCCACATATGGATCATCAGACTAGAATAAGTCTAGGGTCTGGGTGGCGAGGGCAATGACAACATTATTTATGTGTGTTTAAACGAGGAATACGAAGTGAGATTATTAGAATA